TTCCGGGGGTATAGGGTTTAGGGGTTTAGGGTTTAGGGTGTAGGGTCTTTGGGTTTAGGGGCTTAGGGTTTAGGTTTTAGGGTTTAGGGGTTTGGTTTTAGGGTTTAGGGTTTAGGGTTTCGGGATTTCGGTTCAGGCCACCTTCGAACTCATCGCCCAAGCCACGCTACTCCGCTACTCCATAGGACACGACAAGGGAGCAAGTGCAGGGCTTGGGCACAACGATTGGGATCCCAAAACCACCAGAACACCACCTCAAACCCTTGGATTTAAACCTTAAACTAAACGATTAAACCCTTAGGGTTTAAGTAAACCCAATACCTTAAGATTTTATGGTTTAGTTTAAGGTTTATAACCCCAAACCCTAAACCCCACAGTGCTTGAAACCAGCAGCAGGGGTCTACCTGTCCAGTGTCCTAGTGCTAGGACCAAGCTAATGTAGGGGCCTTAATTATTCGAATAGAGTTTTGGGTCCCAGTATACCATAACTACAATAAGGAACCCCCAAAATAGTGTAGGAAATTATTGAGGTGCCATTATACCACATCTATAATAAGGAACCCCCAAAATAGTATAGGTATTTATTGAGGCCCTTCTATTAAGGGTAGCAGAAGACCTGGCCCGAGTCTCCAGGAAGCCACGTGAGCACTGAGACATTAAACGCGAGCAACTCCTGGTTGTTGCTGTCGTCGTCGTTGTTGTCAGTAGTAGTAGTAGTAGTAGTAGTAGTAGTAGTAGTAGTAGCCCCTTTTCAGCATGGGCTTGGATTGCAGTAGCCCCTAAACCCTAAACGTAGTAATAGAAGGCTCCAGGGCTTTGTCTCCCTTGGAGCTCTGTTTTTCAGATCCAGCAATTTAGGAGGAAGCTTTGCACTACGAAGGTCTGCGGCTCACTTCTCAACCTGCCGACGAAGAAGAAGACATACTCTAAGTCATCGTCGTGGCCAAAAGGCTCGTTGTAGGCCACCAGCAAGGACGGGCTGTAGCAGCAATGGCGCATGAACGCAGTGATCTTATCCACATGGTCCTTGAAGATTTCAGGATGTGTTCCTGCCTTAGTTGCTGAGTTTATAAGTCCCAGAAAATGTACACTTTCAGCTTTTTGGGGGGCTAATATGATCCCAAGAAGTGTAAAGTGCACTTATTCAGCCAGCCAAGCTGCTTCATCATTCCCCAACAGCGGATACGCT